GGTTTCACCATGTTGACCAGGATGGTCTCGATCTCTTGACCTCGTGATCCACCCGCCTCGGCCTCCCAAAGTGCTGGGATTACAGGCTTGAGCCACCGCGCCCGGCGTTCTAACCTGGTTCTTAAAGTGCTGTTTAGAAAGACAAAGTGAAATCAGTGATATTTACTTGGTTTCCTTTTCAAATTGACTAAATAAATGAACTGCCAAGATGCCTTCCACTGGGTCGAAATGTTCCTCTCAGATTTTCTCACATCTTAAGAATATCTAAAACCTATATAGCAACTACTCATTAATCTTTAAAAAATCATTAATTTAAAAAAAAAGTGATTCCAAAAATTTTAACTGCCAAGAGCAAAAGTTTACAGAGCCAAAGGATGGATCACCAAATTCAGAAACAAGATTAGGAAAATAACAAGATAGTATGAGATCAGGAAGAACCAACTCTGACTAAAGCTAAGCCACCTATATATAAAAAAATCCAGGTGCTTCCTTCACTGTCAAGGAACAATGGAAAATTACTGTAATACAAATTTATTTGTATATTTGAGAATTTTAACAAAGAGATGCTAGAATGACGAATATATGAAGAGACAACTTAAAAAACAAGTAACACAGAGTAGGAAAATGTGTTAAGACACCCCCCAGCACTGTATGTGTGTTTTTACATAGGGGAAAAGGGAAATTCACCAGACTTTTGCTACTTGATTAAAATATCCCCTAAGGCCAGGCAAGATGGCTGGTTCCTGTAATCCCAGCACTTTGGGAGGCAGAGGTGTGTGGATCATTTGAGGTCAGGAGTTCAAGACCAGCCTGGCCAACATGGTGAAACCCAGACTCTGCTAAAGATACAAAAATTAGCGGGGTATGGTGGTGGGCACCTGTAATCTCAGCTATTCAGGGGCTGAGGCAGGAGAATCGCTTGAACCCGGGAGGTGGACATTGCAGTGAGCTGAGATCATGCCACCGCACTCTAGTGTAAATGACAAAGTGAGGCTTCATCTCAAAAAACAGAATAAAATAAAAATAAATGGCCAGGTGTGGTAGCTCACACCTGTAATCCCAGCACTTTGGAAGGCCAAGGCAGGCATATCACTTGAGATCAGGAGGTCGAGACCAGCCTAGCCAACATGGTGAAACCTGCTCTTTACTAAAAATACAAAATTAGCTGAGTGTGGTGGCACGTGCCTGTAATCCCAACTATTCAGGAGGGTGAGGCAGGAGAACTGCTTGAGCCCAGGAGGCAGAGGCTGCAGTGAGCTGAGATCCTGCCACTGCAACCTAGCCTGGACAACAGAGTAAGACCCTGTCTCAAAAATAAATAAGGCTGGGTGCGGTGGCTCACACCTGTAATCCCAGCACTTTGGGAGGCTGAGGAGGGTGGATCACTTGAGGTCAGGAGTTCGAGGCCAACCTGACCAACATGGTGAAACCCTGTCTCTTAAAATAAATAAATAAAATAAAATAAAATTTAAAAAAAATTTTTAATACCCCCTAAGAATACCTAGTGCCTTTCCAATTCTATAATCAACTACCTTTTTACTACTGATTAGGCAGCCCAGAACAATGGAGGTGTCCTGGTCAGTGGATTAATTAAATCCAATTGTGCACATGACACTTAATGCATCCAACATACATTAACTGGTATCTGGTTTGTCGGTCTCTGGTGAGTTTGTTTACTTTGCATTAATAAATTCTCAAGCACTTGAATCATCCCAATGTGAACCACAATTCTGAAGTTTCTGAACTACTATGTGGGGGTTGGAGAGACCTTGGTTTGGATACCACTTTAGCCACTTAACTATCTGTGTGACCTCTTACTCCCATCAGTCTCAATTTCCTCATCTGTAAATACAGCTAGTGCCTGGGAGATGGTAAGTGCTAAAAAAGTGACAGCTTTATTATTTTGCAGCTAAATTTGAAATGAAGAGTATAACTTGAGGTGAAAACATTTCATTTGAAAATAGTACGGATGAAAAAGAAAAAAAAAAAAAAAAAAAAAAAAAAAACAAAAAACGAAAATAGTACGGATGATCAAACTACATCAATTTAAAAGACATCAGCCTAAAGAGAGATGTCCCAATCTACTGAGTTGAGAAAAGCAAAGTTTAAAAGTTGCAAGTAAAGTACACACTACACAGTACAGATGGGAGTCTCCTGCTTAGCAACTCTGATAGTGTCTACCAAACACCCAGCCTGTAATAGAGCATGACAACTGTTCACTCTAAATCCATGTGCTCAGCATGGATTCAGGATTGATTTATAAAAATAGCTGCTGCTGGTGCTCTTTGAATCTCTTGGCGCTGATGACTGGGCAGTGTTACCCTACAGGCCTAGAGCAGCTGTATTCCCTCACCACACCCATTTCTCTGTCTACTCAGCCAAGCTGACGGCACCCCGCCCCCCCTCCATCTCTGCAGCATACTATTCTCCCTCCTCCTGGGCTGAGTGAGCAAATTACAAGCACAAATATCCCCTGATGCAATGCCACAACCATCCCTGGGAAAGAGCAGAGGCAGTTGCCAAAAGCACAGCAGCAGGGAAATGGGCGGGTAAGTGCGTGTGCGCCCGCGCAAGCACGCACGCGCGAACACACACACACACACACACACACACACACACACACACACCCCAAGAAACACTGCAATGCTCTATGCTGCTATGCAGCCAAGGAGAGAGAATCGAGAGGACCTGGGGAGCAATACTGTAACAGAACCACAGAAGGCAAAGGAGAAAAGGGGATTTCCAGTAGAAAGCTGGGTAACACTAACCTTCCCGAGGAGCACATATTTCATTCGAGTTTGGGCCCTAAAGCACAAACCTACAGGTAATCAATCACTGCCTCCTCCCCAAAGCAGCAAATGCATTTAATTGGTGTTCCTGGAAGTAAGCAAAACTCTCAAAACTCCTCCACAGGACAATTTCACCAAAGGGATTTCACACCGATGGAAAACTTGTTCCATGTGCTAAATCACAATCTCTGTTCTGGATAATGTTTCCAACTGCCCCTCCTAGTCCCTGTAACCTCCCACCCCCACCCTAACGCGACCCCTTTGCACTCCCACTGCCAGACACCCGCTTTAGTTCCCACACCATGCCCGGACCTTTGCATGCAGGAAGAGCCCCGCCTAGGGCCCGATTCTCCAGACCACCCCTCAGCCCCACCCATACCTCCTGACTGTACACCCTAATGCTCACCTCAGCCTCACATCAACTGACCCCCATAAAGCCTCTGAAAACGACCGGAGTTCTCCTACACTCCCACACCCCACCCAGGGCCTCAGACTGCGGCCGACCCTCGACCTCCGGCTCAGCCCCATCCAAAGCCCAAGGCATGTCGCTCGGCACCACCGCCCCGGCCCCCAAAGCTGGACCTCTCCACTCGGCCTCACTCCAAGGACCCCCTCCCCTAGATCGCGCCTCAAAGACTCCGAAGGTCACGCCCGCCGGCCCCCTCCCACGGACGCCCCCGCGTCTAGCAGGGTGGCGGCCACCGCCCTTCCACGCCTCCGGCGGCCCCATAGGGGCCCTGGCTGCCACGGGACGAGGCTCAGGCGGCCCCAGGACAGTGAGGAGGCCACCCTTCCGATAGGACCCCGCCTGCGGCTGCACCTACCCGCCGCCGCCGAGCCGGAGCCGGAGCCGGAGCAGGAGGGAGCCAGGAGAGCGCCGGGAAGAGCCGTGAGGAGCTGGGAGACGTCGGGAGGAGCCGGGAGCCAGCAAGCTAGCCGAAGGGGCGGGGCGCAGGGAGGCGGCCGCTTCCTCGTCGCCCTCTTGAGGGCAGGCGCGAGAGAGGGACGCCGCCACCGCCTACCCGGCGGGCGCCGCCACTTCGGCCAATAAGCGTGGCGAGGGGGCGGGCAGAGGGCTGCGACGGACCAATGGTACTAACCCCGCCGCCACGCTCTCTCTGCAGAGCTGCGCGAGCGGCGGGCCGTTGAGGGGCGAAGTTCGCCTGGGGGCTACATGCTCCGGCCTCGGGCCTGACAATGCCGAAGCGGACGGCAGGCCGACCGTCTGCCTCCGCTGTTGATGGTCGTCGCTCTATCTTAGAGCCTGGGCGCCTAGAGCGGAGAAAGTGTGGGAGTCGGCGCGCATGCTGCCGGCGGGGCCTGTGAGCTCTGTGATGTAACCTGGGAGGGGCGCGGGGCGGGGTCTAGGTCGCGGGCTCCTGGGCTCTAGAAGTAACCCTTAGTGGGCCGGGAGGATGCGACTGTGTCCTCTGCAGGGCTTCGCTTCCGCGAGACACATGTGGCTGGTGACCTCTGAAACGTGGCTGGCCCAAGTTGAGATGTGCTATAAGTGTAGAATACACACCAGATTTCCAAACTTAGTACAAAAAAAAAAAAAAAAAAAATTTTTTTAAATGGTTACAAGTGTGATAATTTTAACAAAATTGATGACAGTTGGGGTATATTTGGTTAAATAAGATATATTGGGGCCGGGCGCGGTGGC